CAATCTGATTAACCGATTAGTAATTGGCCTGAGAGCATCAGTCGGGAGAAAGAAGAGTCATCTCCGGTGCGGTGCGGGTGTCCGGAGAGCGGTCTATTACAATAAGAGCAATAAAAGCAACAGAAGCAATAAGAGGAGAACCAGAGTAATTGTGTGTGAAATGTATAGTGGGCTAAGATATGATTACATATGGCATGATATGGCAGAAGCGAAGACAAAGAGCACGCAAAGAATAGACACTTATGAGCAGCATAGCAGTATATAAATTAGAAGAGACAGATGATGATACACATGTAATTATATATAAACAATAATACACTAATTGACAAGGAATACAACCATCTTGTAGGCAGCAGCGTCAACTCAGCATTTGCACTCATCCACAATCGTGCGCTTCACCAACATCACCCTTCAAACTAATTCGGAGCCATCGCCGAGAATAAAACAATAAAAGCATCAGCTACTTATTCATCCATTCTCCCCGCCTTGTTTGCTCTTCTTTCTTCTTAGTGCCCGTGCTCTGTGCACCAAGACAACAGTCATGGATCCGAGCCTGGCTCCCAACTTTACTCCGCTCCTCCGGTGTGTCATCTCTCCTCCTCGCTCGCTGCCAACTGACCCTCTTCCTCTACTCTCCTCCTCGTCATCCAGCTTCTCGTCATCGTCTTGCGCCATGACCGACACTGCCCAGACCACACCCACCCAGCAGCCTCAGCCTGTTCTGCCGCCTGAGGCTGCGCCGCCCCCGATATCAAACGGCAAACGCAAGTCCCCCACAGACTACCATCTCGGGTTCCCTCCGTACTCCGTCTCGGCAAACCGCACTCCGCTTCAATCGGCCGATCTTGAGGAAGTGCCCCACGGCGTCTCGCGCCAGGCGCGCGACCTCGCGTCCTACCAGTTCCCAACTCACCGTCTCGCCGAAGTCCTCCAGGACTCGGCCATGCAGCCTCTCGTCGTCGTCGCTTGTGGCTCTTTCTCGCCCATAACATACCTCCATCTGCGCATGTTTGAAATGGCCATCGACACCATTCGCGAAACAAACAACTATGAAGTCGTCGGCGGATACTACTCCCCCGTTTCCGACCATTACCGCAAGGCTGGGCTGGCCCCGGCAAAGCATCGAGTGCGCATGTGCGAGCTGGCTTGTGAGCGCACTTCTTCATGGCTCATGGTCGACGCCTGGGAATCTCTGCAACCAACCTACCAGCGCACGGCCGTTGTCCTCGACCACTTCAACTACGAGATTAACGTCAAGCGCGGCGGCGTAAAGACAAAAAACGGCGAGCGTCGTCCGGTCAAAATTCTTCTTCTCGCGGGTGGTGACCTCATAGAGTCCATGGGTGACCCCAGCGTCTGGGCAGATGAGGATCTTCACCATATTCTTGGCCGCTACGGCTGTCTCATCGTCGAGCGAACAGGGTCCGACGTACGCTCGTTCTTACTCTCGCACGATATCATGTACCAGCATCGTCACAATGTCATCGTCATCAAGCAGTTAATCTACAATGACATTTCCTCGACTAAAGTCCGACTATTCATCAGACGGGGTATGTCGGTGCAGTATCTTTTACCAAATTCAGTCATTAGATATATCGAAGAGCACGGCTTGTACGTCGGCATGAGCGAGCCGGTCTCGAATGTGCTCAAGTTCTAGTTCTTCCTACTCTCTAATACTCTCTATGGTTTCTATTGTTTACTGATTGTTAATTGATTGTTTTTTTTTTCATTGCTGTTTATTGGATTTTCTAATGCTTTTTAGAATGTTTTTTTTCTTGATTTTGGTGTGTGGGGTATTTATTTCTCCGGACGAGTAAAGTATGAAAAATTGATCCGCCGCGCGGCTTGTCGAGCTCGGCTTGTCTTTACAATTCTGCTTTAATTTTCATCACTATTCTTTTCACTGTCTGTTTTGTTGAACAATTTTTTTCTCTTTGTTTCTCTGTTCTATTTCTTTTCTTTCTCGTTTTTATTTTGTTAATTTTTGGCATTTGGTGTTTTGTAACTGACTGCTTCAAAGGAAGTGGCTGACGAGTATGCGTGTATGAGGAGGTGTGCATTGTGCATCATAATACAGAATGAAAAAAGTACCGTTCACGTTTAATACAATATTTTGAGAAAAGTTTTGCTGCTATTGTTAATATTACTATTACTACTAATTGAGAGGCCTTTTTGTTTATGTTTATCTAATATAATGAGGACAGATCAGTCAAACTTCTTGTTTGAAAGAGCTTCAACTCTTGTGCAGTCTGGTTGACATCGTCGAGCTGTAGACTGGGGAACCGCAAATACTTCAGAAACATGGAATACTGTCCAAGATCAACTTTAATCAGTCACAGAGCTTAGATTTTGCTCTCGCAATCTCTTCAATACTGCCAGATCCTTCTCAAAATCGCCTCTATACTCTTTCTCTTCTGCATCCTCACTCACGTCAGTTTCAGAAATATGATCCCATAGCGGCATATACGCTCTCGGGCTTGTGGGCAGGTACATATCCATTGATTCGCATAGCATCAGCATTGTTAGATCGTAATCAGCGTATCTGTTTTCAGTGATGAATTTTTCCTCGTCAGTTCTATATGCCCGATTAGTTCTGTAAAGTTTCTGTATTAGTATAATAATGATGTGCACAAGCCAACATAAGATACAGCACACTTTTTATAGGTAAAGTAATTCCTAGCCCAGCCCACATGCAAAGTTGACAAAAACACCCGTCGCTCCATACCCCTATACTCTGCCGCACCTTTCAGGAACAATAAAGTATTCTGAAATCGCGACTCAGAGTACGCATTTGCAGACACTAACTGAGGGTCGCGAAACATGTTGCGCAGAATTGTTTTGGCAATGTGTTTGCGGGGACCTTTGCCGTCGCGCGGGGTTATTCGAAACACAGCGCGCTGCACCGCGCGGTAGAGGTGCGTAGGTGGAGGTGGGTATGTTTGAGCCATGAGTGCCTGTTTACTTTTGTGCGCTATGTACTTGAAGCATTGACGAAAGTCATCGTGAAGAGGACTGATAGAGATGAGAGACGAGAAACGAATTACAAGAAATTTACTGAATAGTGCGGCGCTGGTGGAGTGTACTGCATTGCACACACACACACACACACACGCAATTACAAGAACTAGAAACCATCATTCAAACAGCCGAGCTCAGAATAAAGATAACACTATAATGAGAATGAGATGTCGAAAATACTTTGCCGCCGGTGAAGAATGCTTCTACAAATTAACCTAATATCCCGGAGCACGCCTCATCAGTATCTGTCCCTTTTTCTTATGACCGAAGCGAAACCGGTATCTCCGTCATAATCAGCACAAGCAAATTTTAACAAACAGCGTCTGCAATTCTTATATTGTTGGCAAATGCTTGTGGACGAGAACAGTCTGAAGTCGTGTGGCACCAGGAACCATTGATAATCAATTATCCGACTATTGAGCAGTCTGAGGGTGTACTCTAATCAGAATGTAATCACTTTAGCGGTTACTTCCAGTATGTACACTAAACATCATAACAACCATATATATAGCGATTGAAGCTCAAATATGAGCTACCAACGATGAATGGAAAGGCGATGAACAAAAGAATAATAGCTTACACTAGTATTTGCTAATCTCCGTCGTCAATTAGTACCGACATCAGAGTTTATAGTAAATCCGCCACCCGTCGGCTCCAGCTTCTCTCAAATATTAGAGATAGTTGTGCAGCAAAGCAATCCTTTTTGAAATCATACATTCTTTTCTCTCTTCTCTTGCTTCCCTTTTTTTTTCTTTCTTTTTTTTGATTATATCAAAGCTCTATTAAAATGGCCTCGCTATGCACTACTTCGTTTAAACTCAATACCGGCTACTCCATCCCTGCCATCGGTCTCGGTACCTGGCAAGGCACGCCCGGCACTGATGAATCCGAACTCTTGCAGTCAACAATCAAATACGCCTTATCCCAAGGATACCACTGCATTGATACCGCCGCCGCCTACGAAGTTGAAGAAGATGTCAGAGCTGCGATAGCCGAAAGTGAAGTCCCTAGAGAGGAAATTTTTGTAGTGACAAAATTATGGAATGCGATGCATGATCGCGTTGAAGAGGCGTTCCTGACGTCGCTGCAAAAACTCGGATTGGAGTATATTGATTTATATCTCATGCATTGGCCAATGTCTTCTGATGATCAGATGAACGTTCTCGATCATCCTACACCTGCCGAAACTTGGCTATCAATGGAGGCTTTAATCAAGAAATATCCCACCAAACTTAGATCGATTGGTGTCTCAAATTTCTCTGAAAAGACAATCAAACCTCTTTTAGAGGTGGCAACCATTATCCCCGCAGTTAATCAGATTGAAATTCACCCCATGCTTCCGCAATTCGAACTCGTTGACGCATTCGCTAAGCATGGAATCCTGACAATGGCTTACTCGCCTCTCGGACAATACAATTCCCCTGTTCTCACCCATCCAGACATTATTGCCCTAGCGGAGAAATACAAAGTCCCGACCGGAGCCCTCGTTTTATCCTGGGAGGTCCAGCGTGGTATAGTGGCAGTGCCGAAATCTACAAATAAGGAGCGAATCGTGTCTAATATCACGTTACTCCCTGAACTTTCTCCTGAAGATAAAAAGGTACTTGATGAATTCCATTTGAGAAAAGGAATGCATAGACGCCTGTGTACTGTTGGTAATGGCGTGCGACCTACGGGTAATGATATCGTCTTTGGTTGGACTTATGAGCAGCTTGGTTGGGAGACTTTCACCGTCGACGAATAGATTACTGAAGTGATTTAATGGTGTAGATATTGTAGATATAGAATAGAATAGAATAGACAATAGAGATCCCAGATTTGCAGTTTTTCCCCTTAAAAGATATTCTTTTCCCTGGTCTACTATGCTTATTGGAATTAGTATTTTCCATTCAAATGAAAATTCATTCATCACCTGCAGAACAAAATAAAAAAAGCAGAATATAGAAGCAAAATATAAAAGCAAAATATAAAAAAAAAATTATTGAGAGCGGTGAGGTTCGAACTCACGCCTCTTTCGAGACCAGCATTCACATTACAAAGTAACCTGAAGCGGGCGCCTTGGACCACTCGGCCACACTCCCATTTTAAGTCAAAATGAGGTAAAATCTATACATACCCTGTAATTCACCTCCCATTCTAGACTAGTAGTTTAATGATTATTGCATTATACAAAGATTTGAATTGCTAACTTCAGGAAAAATAAGTGTATTCTAGATCAATTAATTTTTTAATACATAATTGGATTATGACTTGATAAACACATCTCCATCAACTATCCCCATCAACTATCCCCATCCTTCATGAAATTACCCCCTAATACACATTACAAAACTTATCAGACGAACAACTTCAAATGCTAGAAAAAGACCAGATTAATTTAAATACTTGCTATGAAAGCTTGAAAAACAAAGATGAAAACTTTTTCTTCAAAAAAAGGGAAAAAAGACTGGCAATGCAATGTCTAGTATCCCCGCACAGATGCAATGATAGTACATAATCGACTCTCGCTAATCTCATAGCACGTAGGTAATTCCACTTCGTCATCCTTTATTACCTCTCTTTTAATAAAACTTTCAGACAAATCCGCAGACGAGTGATATTCAAAATCATATAGAAAATCAGCGTCTTCGCAAAGAATTTGTTTGACTAGACTTTTCGCTGAGAGGAAAATTCGCGGCATTCCGTGCCCTGTAAATCCAGCTATACAATATTCTTGACTCTGTTCGACAAACGAAGGAACTTTTCCGACAAGAGGAATTTCATCTGTGGAGAATCCCATGATTCCAGTCCATTGATTGACGATCTTATACTGTTTACTGTAAATCGCATTTCCTTCTTTTGATTGCGATACTGGAGACAGAAAACGGCCATTGTCAAAACATAACGTCTGTGTGAAAAAGCTTCGTAGATATAAATCGACATCGGCATCAATCTCTTCCTGTCCAGCTCTACTACTACTGAACGACTCATATCCGTTTCCGGTTCCAAATCTTCGACCTCCTCCAAGTACGAAATTTCCATTCGGTCGCTGAATAAGGTACTCTCCACCATTATTAAAGCTCATATTTGTAATATTGTGCAATGGATCGAGACTAAAAAACCTTCGATCTCCGAGCGGCTGAATCTCAATTACGTGTCCGCGAGTTGGCGTTACTAAAACGGTGTCCTTTGAAGTTTTCGTACTTTCAATAATATCTGAAGAGATTGACAGAAGACTGTCTAAATACGCATTTGTAGCGTGTACAATCTTGTTGGCAAGAATATCACCTTCCGAGGTAGTGATCTTGTACAAGAAAGACGATCGTTTAGGTGTAATTCGAAGGGTCGACATGTCAATGTCTTCGAATCCGTCAGAATCTGAATCGTGATGTGCGGTATTTCCGGTAAGAACGTTGCGAGTGATACTAGTGACGCGAGTATGAGTCTGAAGATTGAGTCCTGCAATGAGACTTTTTTCTAGGAGATGAGATACTAGTTTGACAGGCGAGATGGGTGATGCTGGGGACGCAATTGCTCCAAAACAACTTTGAATTCCGGTGATCTATTTCTTTTCATTAGCTTCCTCCTTTGCTTAAGTATACTCGTGAAATCTTACCCGTCGAGCCTCAGCGCGCATAAACACTCGCACATCATGTACATCACCACCAATATCTCTCATCAATGAAAGATTATAAAGCGCATCAGAAAACTCAGCTTGCGACATAAATACTCGCCATGATTCACCATTTTGATCACACTCGCAATCAATCCCTTCATCTTTTATTAATTGCAAGACAGACTCGAAATTACTTCGCTCGAATTTATTGTGTCTGACTGCTTCTTCGGGTCCAAATTTGGACATTATGTCACTGGCATAGCCAAAATAATCCGGTCTAAGATGTCCACCATTGCGTCCAGTAGCGCCTATCACATCATCATCAATTAAATCAGCACAAAGTTTGACAACCAAACACTTCTTCAAAGCGACCTACCGGAGCAAACATCACCTGCTTCGAGTAATGCAATTCGCATGCCAGGATACGCATTTAACGCATGGTACGCAACACTGACTCCACTAAGTCCGCCCCCGATGATGACCAGATCTGCTGTCTCGGGGAGAACGGCTGTAGAGCGCACGTTAGAGAGACTAGGCGGTGGGTCAAGCCATGCAGACTTCCTCGACGAAGTCGGGAAGATGGCTGCCCGAGCAGTCATTTTCCAGCAATGTGTCGAAAGAGCAGCAATGCAGTACACAACGTTGTATATGAGAAATAGCTAATAGCTAAGAGACAAAAGGCAAAAGTTGTGTGTCGACAAGTCGATACTTTAGTGTACAAGGCATTAGCAGAACTAAAAGCGATAAGGCCTTTCAGAAAGCGTCCTCGGGAACGGGTCCGGGTAACAAAGGTGCCAATGGGCAAACTCCCAATTCAAGTGGTTTAGGGCTTAAATAAGCTCAAAGCTTGGGACTTTTTTTCTGTTTGAAAAGAAAAATAAATTCTTTTGCCAGATCAACTGTTCACAGATACTTGCGTTTATTTCTTTGCTGACCTAATATCAAACGGAAAGATTAAAGAATATGAATGCCAAACGGAAAAATACCGAGTCAAATGAGGAGTCTGCTGACTCTATGACTTTTGAGTCTATGGGCCTCGATCAAAGATTACTGCAAGCGATATCGCGACTCCAGTTCTCTAAGCCAACGCCGGTTCAAGAGAAAGCGATCCCACTCGCTTTGGAAGGAAAGGATATACTTGCTAGAGCAAAGACTGGATCTGGAAAGACTGCCGCATATTCTATTCCTGTTATTGAGTCTCTTATTAGAATGAAAGAGGTAAGTAGATTCAATCATTAGCCAATATTTGATTTCGTCTGTTAATGCTTTTTTTTTGCTTGGGTTTAGAGTAAACCCGATGAGAAAGCGGTTAGAGCATTGATTTTAGTGCCGACTAGAGAGTTGGCAGAGCAGTGTTTACGACTGATTAATAATCTGTTGCCCTTTACTGGAAAGCTTATACGGGCTGTCAATATTGCGAACAATGTCGCAGAGTCGATTCAGAGGTATCAAGAAATAGAATCTGCTTGCTTGGAAAATACTAATGATTGACTTTTCATAGATCTTTACTAGCAGAATTACCCGAGATTGTGGTTAGCACGCCAGCACGAGTTCTCAGCAATCTCAACAATTCAAATATCTCAGTAAAAGGAATCACCCATATTGTCATTGACGAAGCCGATTTGATTATGTCATATGGCTACGAAGATGATTTAGCAAGTATAAAGAAACAGTTACCAAAAACATTGCAAGTGTTTTTAATGAGTGCGACGCTTACTGCTGACGTCAATACACTCAAGAGTATGCTTTGCCGGAATCCAGCGATTTTGACGCTGCATGAAGAAGAAAACGCGGACTCAGAAGGCGGAAAAATCGACCAGTTTATGGTCAAGTGCAGCGAATTTGACAAATTTTTGCTTGCCTATGTTATCTTCAAATTGGATCTAATTAAAGGAAAGACTATTGCTTTTGTCAATGATATAGACCGATGCTACCGATTAAAGCTTTTCTTGGAGCAATTTGGAATCCGCTCATGCGTGCTTAATTCAGACTTACCTGTTAACTCGAGGTTGCATGTCGTCGATCAATTTAACAAGAATATATACAGTCTACTCATCGCTACTGACGATGCAGATCAAATTGCTGCTGAAGAAATTGACATTGAATCTACGACCTCAAAGAAATCAAAGAGGAGAAAGCTTAAAGAAAGCGAGTATGGAGCATCTAGAGGAATTGATTTTCAGAATGTGTCTTGCGTTTTGAATTTTGATTTGCCGACTACTGCGCGTGCGTATACGCACCGAATTGGTCGCACTGGTCGCGCGGGAAACTCCGGTATGGCGCTCTCGTTTGTCGTTCCTTCTGATCAATGGGGGAAACATAAAGCATCGTCGCTAGAGACTGCAAAGCGCGATGAGAAGATTTTGGCTCGGATTCAAAATAATCAGCAGAAACAAAATGAGACGGAGATTAAACCGTACGTATTTGATATGAAACAAGTGGATGCGTTCAAATACCGAACCGAGGACGCTTTTCGGGCAGTTACAAAGACAGCGATTCGCGAAGCACGAATGAAGGAACTCAAGCAGGAAATGCTCGCAAGTGAAAAGTTAAAGAAGTATTTCCAAGATAATCCAGAAGAACTAGAACAATTACGGCATGATCGCGAACTACATTCGGTCAGAGTTCAAAGCCATTTGAAGCATATTCCAGATTATCTACTTCCTGAAGCTGGTCGGAATAGTCTGGTGAAGAATCTGGGATTTGTGGGTATGAAGAAGACTTCTGAGAATAGGATACGAAAGGCGAGATCGTTGCATCGGGGACGATCTAAGCCGAAGCGTGTTGATCCACTAAAGAGCTTTAAAGCCAAGAAAATTACGAAATAAGGCTGCCTATTCTTGTCAGATGCATGGATATATATGAGTTAGCTGTTCTCAAATTAGGATAGAACGAGAGAGAAAAAATTGTCACGGCAGTGTTGTGCATTAAAAAAGCATAGTATAATACAATAAATATCCATCAGAGACTCCAAATTCCCAAATTCAAAACCATAAAAAGAAAGCAAATTAACCAGAAAGCTGATTCTTCTCGTTTTGAAAGACCTGTATTTTCTCCATCTGTTTCTTGATATTCTCTTGTACGACGTTAATAGCTGCTGATAATCTGTCAAGCTCTTCATTTTCAGATTGAATACTAAATGGAACGCGTGCGGATTTCTTGGCTGGTAGTGCAGCGCCAGGAGTTTTTGTGAGTATCTCGAATAGGCTTTCAGTAGGTTCATTAAAGACCTATTCCAATATTAGTATAGCTTCTATAAATAAAACTCATAACAAAAAGAATTACATACAAATTCATCGTACTGTAAACTTGTGACAGTTGCGCCTTCGGCTTTTTGTTGTTCAGCTTCAGGACCGTAGGGATGTAATTTAAGATGATGATACATTGCCACATTCTTCTCGCTAGCTTCGGGGACGAAATATACGCGAATTGAAATTTCAAATTCACCCCATCCTGTTTCAGTGACTTCAAATGGTGGCTCCTCGA